GAGAGAGAGAGAGAGAGAGTATTTAATTAATAAACATAGCTTATCTAGATCTAGAATCTAGGATCTAGATCTAGAGAGTCTAGATTTTGTTGTGCACCCAGCCAAGAGTGTGCAGTTCGGAAAGTACATCTAGATCTAGGCCCCTAAATGGTTGGCGAATGACCGTAGGGCGACTCTTGACTAGCGGCATGTCTGTGAATTGGCGGAAACACTCTAGATCTATATCATGCAACTTGATTCATACTATCATATCAACAATAGACAGATCTACTCAAGCTTCTGTGCTTGTTTCAATGGCTTCTTTTTCGGTGCAGCTGTACAATTGTGGTCCCGTTTACATGACGGCCTTTATTGTCACGTGGGAGTGAATCTAGATCTAGATCTAGACATCTCTAAATTCTCTCTAGATCTAAATAGCCAAGATAATCTATTTCTAGATAGCTAGATCTATCTAGATCTAGATTTTGATTAGATCTATAATTTTAATTCAGCGTAGATCTAGATCTAGAATCTAGATATCTATAATCTAGGCCTAAATCTAAATAAGAAACACGTAAAAATTACTACAGTACAGGTGCACTTAATTAGGCCTTGAGTGATTTAGTGCAAACGGGACCGCTATTGTACAGGAGTGCCATTGTTTCCTAGCTTCAGTTCATGATCATTGATTCTGATATTGGGGAACAGCTCGCTGTGTAGTTAATCTAGATCTAGATCTAGTTCAAGTCAACAGTTAAGCTGCTGGACTCTAGCAGTGGCCGTATCATTAGTTTAAAAAATATCCAATCTATTGTATATTCTGTTAGACAACAGTTCATTGCAGAGCACCACTAGGTGTTCTGTCGTTTTTAAACTGACTGTAAGATCTAATCTACTTCCATGTTCCGTAAACTCCTAGATCCACATCATCATGTTCAACCCACTACCGCTTTCTGTTCATAAAAACCTTAAATTTCTAATTTCTCAACTCACTATATTCGAAATGTGAACAAAAAACAGTCAAAATAAATACCAAACAGTTTATATGGAAAAAAAAACCCAAGGCAAAACTGCCATTATGAAATTCAAAGTAGGCAGCTATTTCGGCGAGTTGAACAGTGCGCTCTTTCTTCCTGTCGTTTGTTTACGCTTTAAACGCGCAGCTAGCTGATTACCAAGGGGAGCCAGTTGGAACGAAAATGAGGCTGTTGTCTCGTCTTGTCTTATTCCATCTTGGATTGAACGTATGTTTCAGGAAATCTTTAGATCTAGATCTAGATCTAGAAATCTAGTGCAAAAAAAAAAAGTGTTCACTGTTCACTATAGAATACATGCGTGTATGCAAAATGTGTTCGAAAAGCGGGAGGTGCTGTGACCAATCCTATTTTCCGCGTGATGGAGATTTATATAGATCTAGATCTAGTATTTTATATAAATTTATGAAGATAAGATTTTTAAAGTGAGCCTCAGTTGTTGCGGAAAAATGTGACTACATTAAGACAAATTGATACAAACTGATGTGCAAAGTATGGGTGACATTGATTCACTTGTTAAAGAGATATTTGAGGATAAGTTGCGCCACGAGTTCTTGACCGCACTATAGTTTTAGTATCCTTTTCATGCGCGCGCTGTGTGTGTGTGTGTGTGTGTGTGTGTGTGTGTGTGTGTGTGTGTGTGTGT